CTCCTTGGGCTGGGAGCTGGTGCAGAAGCACATCATCATATTAAAGTTTACCTTGAGCCTCAGATGTCTCACTGAAGATGATTACAGAATTATAAAGTTAAGCACTCTAATTAATGAAATATATATACTAATATGCTAATTAAAATGAAAAATGTTAAAATCTAGTAGATAAAAAGTAAAACTCTAAGTTCTATTTTTTGAAAGAATTTCCTGAATTCACTCAGATTTCTTTTTACATATGGCTGCTTATTATTTTTTTTTTAGTTCAGAAGGAAAAAGAATACAATTGCATATGTAATTCGTAACCAACTATGAAAAAAACGTATAGGGACATACAAGAGTTACGGAAAGGGAGGATTCTATCAGGAGGTGTCATGGATCAAGAGACCTTTGGGTTTTAGGCAGGGGGATTGAGGCAGGAGTTCGGGGAGTGACAGGTGATAGTGGACATGGATAGGACAGTTTAAATTAGAAGCACCATCGAGGTACTGGATCTAGGCTAGCACGCCAGTTCTTCCTTTGTGACTCAATACATTAAAGCTGAAGAGGAGCCAAGAGCATTTGCCCCTGTGCAGACGTCACCACCAGAATCCACGTAATTTCCCCAGAGCTGGTTGGTAGCTGTCATCAAGATTGTGCTCAACTAAAGCCACCATATGGAACTGAGAGCAACAGACAAATGTCCACAAGAATCCTGGAAAGGACTTTCCTCAGGATGTGAGTTGACTGTGGCTCCTCTGAAAGTTGAGGATAGAACATTCATAGAGCAGCACTGGAGAGGCAGGGAGCGTTGGCAGCCGTAGCCCTTCTCCAAGCACTTCCTCAGAGCCCCCACCCTGAGATTACACAGTCAGAAGCAAGGAGGGCAGCTGGGCTGCAGCTTTAGCCCCATGCCCTTTGCAGTTGTAATCTACACCTGCCCCTGGTCTCCTCCACACAGCCCGGTGTCTGTGTGGTTGGCCACTCACGCAGAATTAGAAGGGATGGTGGGAAGCTGTTTTGATTTTAACATGTCAGGCACAAGTTCCTTTGAACTTTGGGGCTTATGGAGTGAAGTTGGACACAACTAGGAGACTGTTACAAACGGTGAATGGGTTTCATGTAACCCTACTATGGGATTACAAGTCTGCCAGGTGGCATGGAGAAGGCATGTGGAGTCCCTACCCTTGCTTGATTAGGGTACTGAAGGGAATGCTTGATTGTATTGAAGAGTACTTGAAGCAATTTTGGGGTGGTACACAGAAGCGGTTACAGACTAAGAAGGAGAGAAAAGATAGGACCTTTAATCCTGTCTGGGTTTCTACTCTGATTATGTTCTGAGTATATTCTGCATGATCCTGCCTTTCTTAAATTCAGATTTATTTTATAGAGTGAGGCTTCATAAATATCAAATATGAAAACATGATTTTAAACTGGAAAAAAAATGCTTTTAAAAAATATGCCATATCCTCCTGAAAAAGATGGAGGTTTTTATTTTCTTTTTAATATTTTTTAGTTGTAGATGGACACAATAACTTTATTTTGTTTATTTAGTTTCATGTGGAGCTGGGGATTGAACCCAGGGCCTCATATATGCTAGGCAAGTACTCTATCACTGAACTATAACCCCAGCCCCCAAGATGGAGTATTTTATAGCTTCACCTCAAAAACGGCAAATATGTGCAACTCCCATGTTTCTTGTGAGTGGAAAGTTACAATATACTGGAAAACAAATCAAAAGCACAACAGCAACAAAAGTCAGAAAGGCGAACCTCTGGAGAAGCTTGGGACTGTGGATGCCTGGTCAGAGTGCAGGCCGAGCATGGGGAAGATGGATAGATGACAAGTGGTGGCTGCAGGTTCCTCGGTTCCCCCAGGGAGCTGATCCACGCTTGCTCAGCAGGTGAAGGTCACACAGCAGGTGCTCACCTCAGCTCCCTCAGGTGAAGAAGCTGCTGATGTAACTCCCTACTTGCCTCCTAAATGTACCCAGTTGCCTGGCTTTAGGATGGGGACAGCTTCACTGGGCTGCTGTGGTGTAGATTCACTCACTGGAGAGCTGAGGAGTGAAGCACAGGCTTGCCCTGCCCAAGTTTTCTGAACTCTGCATTGGGAAGGTGACCAGGGAACACTGTGGATGCTGATCCTTGCTGCTGTCTCCTGCATGATTCCCACTTGAACTTTCCTGAACGCTCACTTTTTCCGCCTGCCCACCGTTCACTGTGTTTTGCTTTGTGTGTGTACCTGCATCTTGGCTGCTGTGTGACTTTTCTCTATGTGCTGCTCTGCCCTGGGATTGCAGCAGCCCTGGGCTGACTAGCCTTGGCCAGTCATGGAACTCCCACCCCTCAGTGGTCTGCAGCCTGACATCTCCTTAACTCAGAGTGCAGGACAATTGTCCATATGCCCAGTGTGTTTTCAGCCAGTCAGCTGAAAACCTGCAGGTGCATCTCAGGTGAAGCTGTACCTGAGCAAAGCTGTGGATACCAGGGGAGGACTCTACTGGTTTTCTGAGTGGAATGCAGGGCTAGAGGATTCCCTGGGACAGGTTGAGGCTGCAGAGCTGAGTTTTAGAACAACTGCTTCCCCTGGTCCTTCAACTACATTCACTCACGGAGTCATTGCACATGGAATGTTGGGCTCCCAGCACTATCTTAGGGGAGAAATGGCATCCTAAGAAGGAAAAAGAAGTGCTTAATTCGTTTTCAAAATAAATAGTTACTATTTAGGGCATCTCCAACTTTTATTTCTGCCATTTCTTATACATATCATGTCACTGCAGGATGGTTAGTGGATTAAAACCCTTAGACTTCATGTGGATTTTGAGGGTGGCCAGCCATTTCTGCTCCCTGCCCTACCATGATGGAGACATATGAGGAGAGAATACTGGAGGAGACTACAAGTTTTCAGAAGGTTTGGGGTATGATTTTAGCTCTATTTATATTATTAATGTTGACAGATGCCTCACTGTGACTTCCAGCACTGAGTCCTGGATGAGCCAGCGGGTCCCAAGATTCAGGAGCAGCTTAATCCAGCTTGCTTAATCCAGTTTATTGGGGCTGCACACAGCTTCAGTTCCCTAAGATTTAAACTTAGGATTCCACCTCAGTTTAACCCAGTGTTTGGAGAAATAGCTCAAGGTACATGTCTTACCCAAAGCTCACTAGGACAGTCACGCAGGTGTGATGGAGGTAAAGTCACAGCCCTCACTGTTCTTCTTAGGTGAAACTACCTGATAGATATGCATGCAGGGAAGGAAATTTCATGGAATCAAACTTGAGCACCAGTTTCATCCTTGTGGGGCTCTTTGGGGACACCCCAAATGCCACACTCCTTTATACTATGACCTTCATCATTTTCTTAATGGCCCTAGTTGGGAACTCCCTCCTCATTCTTCTCATCCACTCAGAGCCCCGCCTCTGGACCCCCATGTACTCCTTCATCAGCCAGCTGTCTCTCATGGATCTCATGTACATCTCTGTGACCGTGCCCAAGATGCTGGTGGGCCAGGTCACAGGAGACCATATCATCTCCTCCACAGGCTGTGGGATCCAGATGTTCTTCTACCTGACCCTGGCAGGAGCTGAATGTTTTCTTCTGTTGGCCATGGCCTACGACCGATATGCTGCCATCTGTAGACCTCTGCATTACCCACTGTTGATGAACCACAGGGTCTGCCGGCTGATGGTGTCTGGATGCTGGTTCCTGGGAACACTGGATGGCTTGCTGCTTACCCCCATCACCATGAGCTTCTCCTTCTGCAAGTCCAGGAAGATCCTGAGCTTCTTCTGTGAGACCCCTGCCCTGCTGAGGCTCTCCTGCTCTGACGTCTCCCTCTACAAGATGCTCCTATACCTGTGCTGCATCCTCATGCTCCTCGTGCCCACCCTGGTCATCTCCAGCTCCTACACCCTCATCCTGCTCCTCATCCGCAGGACAAGCTCAGCCAAGGGCTGCAGGAAGGCGCTGGCCACCTGCTCCTCCCACATGACCGTGGTGTTGCTCTTCTTTGGTGCCGCTGTCTACACCTACATGCTCCCCGGCTCCTATCACACAGTGCAGCAGGATATGATGGTGTCAGCCTTCTACACCATCCTCACTCCCTTGCTGAACCCCCTCATCTACAGCCTCCGCAACAAAGACATCACGTTGACTCTGAGGAGCCTGGTTCAGTCAAGGTGGTGCTGCCGAAGGGTCGTGAGAGGAAACCTAAGAGGGAGTGCCTGGGAGTGAGCCTGCTTCTCTCCTCTGTCCCTCCTCCTCTCCTGATCTCTCCTGTCTGTTGTCCTTGGGACCCAGGGCCCAATGTGGATCCCTCCCTCAGTCCCACTCCCCTGCCTGGAGCTTCTCCTCCACTCTGCTTATTTATCCTGTTTATCTCAGTGTATTTTACTTCTTGAAATCCATTTAAAACTGTCACTTTAGTTGACCTAGCATCTTTTTCTAACCTCCCTCCATCCTGGGTTCACAGGTAATATCCGTGAGACCTAAGTGCCAGCTTTAGCCTTAACAGAGACTCACTGTGCAGACCTCAGACCTTGCAGAGCCCTGGAGGGGCCATTGGCTGCTCCCTCACTCTCGGCTGCTCTGTAAGCCATCACTGATCTGTGATAGCCATGTGCTCCCAGCAGTCTGATACCGTGCCTCAATAAGTACAGAGGGGCATAGTTTTCTCAATGTTAAAAGAGCTTTGATTCTTCACATCATGTACAACCACAAGAATGAGCCCTAATTAGAATAAGTTATACTCTGTGTATGTATGATATGTCAGAATACACTCTACTGTCATGGTATATCTAAAAAGAACAAACTTTTAAAAAGTAAGCTTTATGGTGTAAACACCAGTGGTTTTAATACTACTGAAAAAATGTCATTAATATTAAAGTCCAGGGATATAATAGGTTTATCTAATTTTACAGGATGTAGATAAAAGTGGTTTCATATATAATTCTTTGAAATTTACCCTACTGTAGACAGTGGTGTACTGTATTTACATTGACTACAAAAACTGTCTTGGAGGATGGGAATTTAGGAAATTTATACGTCTAAGCAATTTTCTTTTGTATTTATTTATTTATTTTGGTACCAGGCATTGAACCCAGGAGTGCTTAACCACAAAACCACATCCCTTTTTTATTTTAAATTATGGGAGAGGGTCTCACTAAGTTGTATAGAGCCTTGCTAAGATAGTTCTGCCTCAGCCTAGCAAGCCAAGCTTTTTTCTTTGAAACTAGGGAAGCCAGTAAAATGATTTTGGACTTGTGACTAGTCTGTGCCCTCCCTGCCAAGTATCATGCTACCAAGGACATGTCTGTGTGTCTACCAGCACCTGCTCTGACGTCTCCCTCTACAAGATGCTCATGTACCTGTGCTGCATCCTCATACTCCCCATGCCCACCCTGGTCATCTCCAGCTCCTACACCCTCATCCTGCTCCAGATCATGGTTGCTTTCAAGACCAATACAACCTGTGTGTTGAGTGCTTCTGGAACGTAAGGAGGTGGGAAAACATACATCATCTCTAAGAGTCAAGAAGGTGACAGGAGTCCTGAGGTCATCAGTCATGCCAGGTGGCACCCTGACCTCACCTTATTTACCACCAAGGAAGGGAAGCTGGGTGCTTCTGGGACAGAGCACCATCACCAGAGCTGAAAAGCAGCCTCTGCCAGCCGTGGCAGCTCCATACTGTGTTTCTAGCTGACCATCAGATCCTGCAGGGTATTAAGGGAATTTGCCTGAATTGGGTCAAAAGGGTCATCTGTGAAGATAAAAGTGCTTGTCTAAAGGTAGTTAGGTTGCTAGACGTAGAGACTCATGTGATTAAACTAAATACTTAAAAGGAACAAAGCTGATCAAGTGAACACCAGCACTGTAAGTCATCCTAACACCATCAGGGCCTGGTTGGTATCATTGCACTTATTATTGTGTTGCTGGTGTCATTGGGAAGTCCATCCTGTGTCACCCTTCCATCAAGTTTCTGGGGTTTTACTTGGCTATTGTTTTCTTGTTTTTTAACAAGTGCTTCCACTCTGGAGAACAACGTGCAAGGGAAAATGGAAGTCTTTGTTGAAGTTGCAGATGGACTCTGAGGTTTATATAGAGATGTGAAAGGGGAGGATTCCCAGCTGCCCTCTGAGTTCTAGCCACTGCCACTCAACTAATGAAGAGCTGTGTGACCTCTGAGAGCCTGCGGAAGCCTGTGACTTTTCTCATGTCATTTTAAGATGAGGAAGAGAAACTTCTTAATCAAATTTCCTGAGGAGGAGGTGCCCTGGGCTGCCTTGAACTTAATGTAACAATTAGTTTTTGGAATTATTACAATTATTATTATGCCCTGGAATACCTGACTATAGGTGCCCACCCCACGCCAATCAAGTGTGTGGGCACTCACAGTCACTGTGCGTGGTCTCTGGAGATCTGCTTTCCCTGGCTTTATACTATTGTGTTTTCTGCAGTTGATCCCTGTTGCAAGTATCATGGATTTATTGATTTTTATGTGTAGGATTAAATTGCCTAACTACACCATTATTTATTAATACCTTCTATTGTTGATGAATGTATATGTTGTCTTCAGTTTTTAGCAATTTCAAATAATGCTCCTATCTACATTTTTGTACTTGTGTCCTATTAACATGACTTTTAAAAATGATTGTTATTAATAATATACTGTCCATTAAAAAAAAACTGGAAGAAAGTATTTTGAAAGTTTTTACCATGAGGAAACAATGAGTGTTTGAGGGAATAAATTTTTGGCTTAATATGAATATTGCATAATGTATACATGTGTCAAACATTACATAGCACCCCATTAATATGTGCATTTTTACATTTTTTGTAATACTGCAAGTTAAATTGAAATTAAAAATCATTGTTATTAAGTACATTACACTAATTCAAATAGAACACTATGGTTTATGATATGTTTTACTATTTTTTAAAAATTTATTTGGTATTGGAGGTTGAACCTAAGGACACTTAACCACTGAGCCACATATCCAGAACTCTATATATTTTATTTAGAGACAGGATCTCACTGAGTTGTTTAGGGTCTTGCTAAGTTGAGGCTGGCTTTGAACTCACAGTACTCCTGCCTCAGCCTCCCAAGCCCCTGAGATTATAGGCCTGTGCCACCACACCTGGCCTATTTATTTTATTTTTAATTAACTAATTATAATTCTATAACTTGAAGTACAATGTGGGTTTCAATATTGATTTGTTGTATATCCCAAGATCAATAAGTGAATCCTCATCCAGTGAGAATGGCTATCTTTAAAAAAAAAATAGAAGTAACAAGCCCTCGCAAGGCTGTGAATCACTCCCCTGTTGTAAATTACCTGAAGAAAAATATATTAGGAGTGATTTCTATATAAGCATTTTTATTTTTTATAAATGAGGGATTTGAGCACAGACTAACTCTTTCTCTTTAGGCAAGGAATGCATTGGAGTCTAAATCATTCGATACATTGGGTTAGTACAGTACCAAACACCATCTATTTCATTCTGAAGATATTTGCTGCAGGGGGCTAGGCTACAAAGTAACCAGGACCTAGAGTGAGGATGGTGGAGTAGAAGGGAGTGTGTCAGCCAGGAACCCAGAGTGTTCCCTCTGCATCTGCTATCTGCTGGGTGCTCCCTGCTGAGCTGGGGAGGAGACTCTGCACTTCCAGGCCTGGGGGGGGGGGGGCGACCATAGCAACCCTGGGAGCTCATGTCCTGCAGTGCTGCCAGAACTGCAAAAACTGTTTTCTGGGTTTGGGAACCCAGGGAAATCCCTGTTGCCTCCAGTTGACACAGACTATCTTCAGAAAGGAAGAAAACATGCAGTTTCTTTCTTCCTCCCACCCTAGAGAATACTCCTGGGCTGCATCTCACAGTCTTATAGGAAACCAGGTGGCCAAGGAGACAGGATAAGCCATCTGCAGGCTGAAGCCCTGCAGGTCAGGTGACTGCAGCTCAGGAGGCAGCCTGACCAACAGACATTGTGGACCAAGGCTGTCACAAGACCTCCATGTCAGGGGAAATGATCAGCATTGTTCCAGAACATATACAGGAAAAACGTTAAGAAGGATTTGGCTGAAAAATGCAAGAGAGTGGGCTTGCTTCTTTCTGCCTGCTTCATCCCAGCTGCTATGATGTAGTGTACACTCAACAGTTTGTAGTTTGAAGGCAAAGTATAATGTGAGTCGGGGGGTGGGGGAGGGCAGAGGTTGGGTAATTGATTAAAAATTTTTCACTAGATCGGTCGTATTTTCAGTATTCTACAATCTGCAGGCTGGTATTGAAAATAAAAGCAAACACATAAAATTCAATGCAACACTAAAGCAAACAAGATGATCACTGAATGTCAGGAAACAAGGAGCACAAACAGGGATTAAGAGAGTCAGTGGAGCTGCTAGAAGGACCCCCCCTCCGGGTCCCCACAGCACTGACAGGGGTGATGCTTTTGACACATCCATTGAACTCTGAGTATTAGTTTCCATATATGGGGAGATAACAATATATCACACAATTTTCTGGGAGATTAAATGAAGATACACACACTTAGGACAGTTTTTTATACACTGAACAAGGACTAAGGCTGTGTCTTAACTGACTTAATACATTTCATCAATCAGGCCTTATAGACAATGTGGGATTTGAGATGATTTAATATTGGTAAAGGTTTTGAGTTTAACAAATACAGATATAGAATATAGATAGAGAATGATCCAGAACTGTGCCAGAGAGCTCTGTTGCTTCCTTAGCTCTAACTGCAATGTCCTCCATGTCCCAGAGGGATTTGTGAACAGGCAACTCCCATCCAATCTCTTGTGACTACCTACACCAGGGGTAATGTCACTCTCCTCTTCCTGGTGACTTAGCCAGGCCACACTCCCTGGCCATCTGGGTGAGGTACATCATTCTCTAAGGTGAGTTCAGATAAGCAGGTGGCCCTGGGAGCTCAGGGCCATTGCTGTGAGGGTCTTGCTCACCTGCTGTTGAAGTATGCTATTAGGTCCTGACAGCATTTCCTCATTTTTTCTCTATCATCTGTTTTTCTGAAGAAAAGAAATGTGTTTGCATCTTAAAACTTTCATGTTGTATTATTTTTTATTGTAACATCTTAAGAAATGTATTTTTATTTCCAATTATTTAAGGACATAGGAGTATGTATTTCTTTTTAATGTTTTGGATGGCAGTAGGATGCTGAATTAATTGTTCCAAGACTGAAATTTTGCTGAGGGAGAAGGACTATCTTTACTTCAAGTGGGGGTGACTCCGGGGGGAGGGGGTGTCACAGTAATGCTGGAAGCAATTCTCCTGAGCATGTTCGTGTTTCTCCAAGCACAAGGATGGTGGGGTGGACCAGAACTGGGATGTGGATGGCAGAGGGAACATGGTGCTTTCCTAGGGTGCTGAGGCAGTGATGTGTTCTGCTGCACCCTAGGGTGGGGCGTGGCCCTCTCTCAGGTCACTTGTGTGATGTTAGGCAGATGCCCTGAGATGCTGGATTGTCAGTCTGCAATAAGATGAGCAGGACCTCAGAGGCTCTGGAGAAGGTGAAGCACAGTCAGCAATCCCTGGATGCTGCTGGCTTGTAATGATGGCTGGGTGTTTTTCTACCAGTACTGTTAACAGTCCCCCAAGTTGAGCAGGCACCAGGCTGTTCCCATGAAACTTAAGCAATTGCCAAGAGAAGAGTAAAAGTGAGTAGGCAAGACAGGCCCCCTGTGTGCTGCACACTACGTTCCCTGGTCCCTCTGGTGTCCTTGGGGGTTGTTACATGAGGCTCCAAGACAGTGGCAGAGATTGTCCCAGTGTGCCTCCCTCCCCTCACTGCCTCCTCTCTCCCTCCATCTTGTCAGCAAATGCTGTCCAGGTCTTTACACCGACTGATGGACTCCAGTCCTTGATTCACCTTGTCCACAGAGGTAAACGGGGCAGCAACTCTGTTTCCTCCACCGCGCTCAGACTTCATCTGCCAGCAGGGTGGGATTTGACAGAGAGGAAATCTATATTCGTCTGTCCTCTGTCTTCTGCAGTATACTTCAGGTTTGTTGGATATTTATATTAAGCAACAAGTTCATTTGCTGTATTGCTTATTCCACAAGCATTTCAGAACTTTGGACTATGGGTGAGCTGAATGTAACAGTTAGTTTGGGGAATTATTACAAGATAATGAAATGTTCTTGAAACTTGTCATTGTTTTCCTGAAATGCCCCCATGCTAAAGTCTCCCCAGAATGAGGAGACGTTAGTTTCTCCATGTTGGTAAGGGCATCAAAATATAATACACACCATGTAGAAATTGAAAATTTGGGAAGGTTTAATCTCTTTAGTTAAAAAATATGGAAGAAGCCATTATTGATTTCCTCAAGAAAGGCCAGGTATATTTTATGTCCACTGCTGTTCCTAACTTTATTTGTCACTATTTAAAAATCCCACCTCAAATCTCATTTAGGTGTTTTCCCTGCTTGGACTGATAGTGACCTCCTGAAGTGCAGGCCAGGTTT